ATTGTAGCAGTGGGATTAACCTTGAGGGATACCACGCTCTTGAACACGTTGATCGCCTTAAAGTCAATCATACCCTCGGCTGATGGCATTAACACTAACCCATATATACCCAGTGTTAGGATTTTGAGTCCGAGATTGTTATCCCGATCCTATAGATGTTTTGTGAACTCTAGTTACCCCTTATGGTTTGTTGTTTTTCCACGACAGACTAAATTCATTCCGATCAATCATGCAAAATGTGATACAGCTTGCTCAAGTGGACTGTAGAGGTAGATCGCCTTTGTTTCAGGATATGCTAATAAAGCTTCGTATTCTTCTAGTGTGGGTGACATATTCACACTTCCAAAAATGAAGTAGCGGTAGTCCGGATCCCAGTGCCCTATCATGACTTGAAAACAGGAGATTTGAACTTTAATATTGAGCAACCGAGCTATGTCGTCACACACCTTCTAAAAATTAAACCTATCTTTAGAAGTAGGCACTCCCAATAATTAAGGAGTGGTCCCATATTGGCTAGTTTATCGACAAGTCTAGCTTTCTATGGTAGTTCCAATATAAAATTTGAAGGCAAACAATCTCCCTCATCAATTTGGGCTCGCTTTGATCCGACCTTAAAATCCTCGACTTTATTTTTTATTTGTTCTATCATGATTTGTATGAATGATAACCTGCAAAAGTCATGGTTAGAACATATATCATTTGAAAATAATTCATGTCTTAATAGGTCAACCCTAGTGGATATGATCTAGCTTATCTATGGTTTTGATAAGCTTGTCTAATCCGAAAGTCTTTTCAAGTTTCTAGACCGTCTAAATTACCAGTGAGGTAATCTAGCCTCTAACCTTATGCATTAGGAGGTAGGGGAATATCATTCCACCATTTCCTATGCATAGGGTGAGTTCCGATCCAAACAAGAGTCCGTAAGAGCATCGGTAGACTTTCGTCATACTTGCCTCCGCATCTCTCTATCTAAATCCTAGTAGGGTTTAGCTCGGGTCCGCAGCTTTTGCAGTTTTCTTCGTGGTATGTGCAACAGTTCAAAATAAATATCTAACCCAGTTCAAATAAATAAAATGCAAAAAATAAATTACAAAAATTAAAAATATTTATAGTAATTACATAACATAAATGACTTTGAAATATATACAAAATAAATAAATAAACAAACAAACAAATAAAAATAAATTGCACAAAATAAATGACTTGGAATTTAAAGACTTGAAAAATAAATAACTTGACAATAAAAACAAATAACAGAGATGAATTTGAAAAACTAAAACTATGGTTTAACTCTAATTTCTCTAGTGGAGTCGCCATTCTGTCACTTCTCGACATCGGACGGGACTCCCGAAAAATTAAGGATTGGTGTATTTACAGAGTTATTTACAAGTTTAGAGTCGCCACCTAGTATCGAAGGAACTAGGAACCTAAAATGGACACCGATTCGTAGATTTTAAGGAAAGGAGTTGGTTACGCTTTGGGAAGATATAGATCACCCAAAAATGCCCTTTCAAAAGAAAGGTACCATGTTTTGTCTAGTCCTAAATTCATCTTCTAAAGCATTTTATTTGTGTCAAATTTTTTTTTTTAAAAAACTCTAATTTCCAAGTCAAAAAATATATTTTTATTTTTGGGCATGGCATCGTATTGAAATGATCATTGAACCCCTTCGTCGGGAGACACATCGGATCCACTTTTTGAGTCTTGAAACAACCGACGTTTCGAAGAACATCTTAGTTATTGAAAAAAAAATCACAATTCACGAATCACCCTACACAACATATCTAAAAAAATTAAACATAAAATGCTCATGGTAGCCTAATTAAGATGAAGTCTAAAAAAATCAATTATTTACATATCTGTTACTCTATATTTTTTTAGGACTAAACAAATTCTAGTTAAAACAATAACCAGAGAATCACAAATTCAAACTAACAGGCCCATAGTTTTTTTTGGAAAAAAAAATTTCCTTAGTTCGAATTATAGCCGAGACTCACTTGTCCCTTTTCCATTTACGTGATACTACAAATTAAAACCATCATCCATTGATTTCTCTTACGAAGGCAACCAAGAACAGAAAACAGAAACAAATAACAGTCTAATTTAAAGAACATGCATAACAAATAAGGGTGAAAAACCTGATATATTCAGATCAGTAATGACAGTATGGAACTAGGTTTGGAACTAGGAATGTAACAAGAGTGCTGTGATGGCAGACTAGAACTTTGCTTGAATTAGGAGTGAATGTCTTCCCTTTCCTTTTAGATTCTTTTTCTCCTTGCTATTGCCCGCTGTTCTTCTTCTTCTTTTTTCTCTCTGTTATACTTTTTTTTCTCTCGTGCTTTCTCTTTTTCGTTCTCTCTCTATCTTTCCTCCCTCTTCTTTTCTGTCCCGTTTTCTTCTAGCTACTGCCTATTTATAGGCTGAATGGTTGTGGATACTGGCATGGCAATTTGTAAGGGGAAGGGTGACTGATCATGGGGAGTCAAGAGTGTAGTTCGTGGGTGCAGGAGTTGTGAGGAATGGGGAAGGTGGTGATCGATGGAGAGGAATAGAGACATGCAAGGGTGGAGTGGAGAGAAAAAGAAAAAGAAAAAGAAAAAAAAGAAAAAATGTGTGAGGAGTGGAGAATGGCAGTTTGTTACAGTTTGTAACAAACTGCCAATGTACGTGTTCATCTCCTTCTTTAAAGAAGGAGATGAACAGTAACATATACCAAAGAATTCAATGGCGAACGACAGGTCGTCCATGGCCAAAGTGTCAAGTTCGTCATGTCGTTTGCTCCCTCCTTTCAATTAAGTCCTTCTCAATTTTAATTTTTCTATAATTAAGTCCTTTTTATAATCATTTTAGTCCCTTGAGTTTCAATTGTTTTTTAATTCTCCCTTAATTTCCTTCCATAGCTTCCCTACCTTTCTAGTATTTATAAATTGACTCATAATACTTTTAAATAAAATCACAATTAAATCCTTAAAAGTAAAATTGATCAATTTCTCTATCTTTTTTTTTCTTTTTCTTTTTTATCATTTATCATTTTTTTTTTTGAATTTTTTTTAATTATAAAAAAATTTAACCCAAAATTTTGGGTTATAACAATTAAGATAAAAAGGACCAAAGTACTCTATTTGAGGGACATGATTGAAAAACAATTGAAATACAGAGGGATGAGAGTGGAAGAGACTCGCGGAGTGCAGGACGAACTTAAATGTTTTCCATAGATAACCTATCGTCCGTTGTCTCCATTTCAATCACCCTGCACCACTGGATAGACGTGCACCAAAACAAAACAATAGAAGGATAAACGAGGACGAAGAGCTAGCGATTGGGTTTTGGACTTTCTTCAATAGCTGTCCGGGTACTGACTCGTCCCTCCTAGCCATGTCTTGTCCTTGTTGAAAAAATATGGGATAGATAGATAATAAATTAAGCATGGTGATTAGAGTATTTTCAAATGAGATGTTTATCTCATATTAGAAAAGAAAAAAAAAGGATACTTTATAAGAAGACCTCTTATAATCATTTTCAATTGAAATGATTTGGAGGGAATTCAAATTGAAGGAGGGAAGCTAACAAGGCAGATCTATGTAAAATGCTACAGGCCCTAGATCACTAGCTATCATCCGAAAACCATGCTTACAAACAATTCTTATCGATTCATTTATATCTCAAATTTGACGCTATGGTGCCTATATTTATTGATATTAAAGAACTTACAAAAAATGATCTAATGCATCTTTAGACAAACCCAGTTCTCTTTTAATATTTTTTAACTTTTGCCTTCGATTCCCCACCAGTACACTACTAAATCTTTAATATTTGTTTAATTTGATTCTAGCTGCCTCCCACTCGTTACTAAATCTATTCCATCTTTCCTTTCCCTTAACTCTCACTCTATTCGAAACACCAAAAATTAAGAAAACCTTCTCTTTGATCTAAATTTCTCTTATTCGATAGCACAAGAAGTATTTTCTTCAAAAATCGGAATTTATTAACTTTTATTATATTATTTACATTATTAATTTATTAAGTTTTTCATTTTATATATTAAATGAATCTTGGCAACTCCCAATTTTTTTAAATAATATTTTATAATTAAAATATTAGATGGACTGTCTTCTCAACTTTATTTCATGTGATTAAGGTATCTATTGGATCCATGGCTTAGTAAAAATCTAATAATCTATCTAATTGAATTAAAATTGCACTATTGATCTTGAAACTTTGTGCCGTTGTTGTGCTAATAGTTGTAGACCCAAAGGAAAAAAAAACAAAACAAAACAAAACAAAAGGAGTTGTAATAGGAGGAATGTAGTAGGATTACAATTTACAAATAACCATTCTTCTTTCATTAATGGTTATTAAAAAATATTTTTAATTATTTTAGTCACAATCATATTTAGATTAATATATTGGATTCTCAATTGTTTATTTGTTAATAAAAACAATTTTTCTTGTTTATATTTTATAGGCTCTGTATTACTAAAGTGACAATTTTCTTGTTAGTGTATACTCGAAAAAGAAATTACTGAAAATTTTAGTATAGATTCACTTATAGATGATTTTCGTGACCTGAAAAAAACTAAGATCTCTATTTTAAATTATTATATTTTGAGATTATTTTAAAATATATGTTGGTATGTTATTTATAATATATATAAGTTAACAAATTTATAAACATTTATTTTGGCACCATAAACATTTGGTCCTGTTCGTCACTAGAAGTTAGTTGTTATCGCGACAATTAAGCATTGTGTTCTCTCGCTTTCATCTCCGATACCATTGATGATTTTCAGCGCTCTGCAGACTGCACAAGAATGACAGTAAAGGGAAGAGCGACTTAGTACACTCACTGGTTTTGTCTTGGAGCCTAAGCCTACACACAGTCTCAAAAGGAAATGGAAGTTTGCTATGGTCATCAAATAAGTACTGGATATTTAAGTTTTAAGAAGGAAGAGTTGTTTAATGAAAGCACTTCATTACAGGACCAAATGAAGTAGTAACTACAATGTCATATTAGCACCAAACAGCAAGTGGACTGCAATAACAACAATAATAAACTTCGGGGCGACAGCAAGAGTGCTGTGTTTTGAACCATGCAATGTATGGATCAAATGCAATTGACTTATTTTTTGGAGTAAAAGAATAAGTAACTACTTTCATTTTCATACACTCCAAGTGGAATCGGTTACAATACTACCAATTTAAGTGCATGTATGTCTTGTAAATGACAGTTCTAACCAATTCAGGCCCACCCCAAGCACTTTCAAGTTCCTTCTTAACCTCTTCAGATAATAAATTCACACCTTGTTGCTTTGCTGTATTCACAGCTGAACCTGAACTCAACACCTTCAAAAGTCTCTCAAATGACATCTCCTTTGGTATGTCTAATTCTAGTGGCTGCCCCTCACAACCTACACCTACACTTTTGGGTTTTGAAAAGGAAAACTTCGATTCCCTCATAGAATTTCTTTAATAAAGGATCCATTTCTGTGCTAACTTGCATGATATTGTATCTCCAAGCAGCAACTACACCACCAGGCTTCTTTAAAACTCGCTTGACGACAGGATAGAGTTTTTCTAGATCAAACCAATGCACAGCCGTAGCCACAGTAACTAAATCAATTGAATTTTCACCCCCAATCAAGTTCACTAGTTCATCACCAGACATTGATGATAGAGGGTGCATGTATTGTATTTGGGGATGTTGTATGGCATGCTTTAACAGTTCTTCACTTATGTCAGTTGCAATCACTTGTTTGTAATGCTCTGCAACCTATATTGCACTTATAAGGTTGTAAGAGACATCATTTATAACAAATTATTTTGGCTTACAAAAAATTTATGTCGCTATAAAGATTTTTTTTTTAAAAAAAAAAATCAGGTAGCACATTCTGTAGCTAAGTTGAGTTTAGATTGTGATGAACCCTGTATTATGATGGAGGAAATTCCTCGTCAGTGCCAAACATTTGGTAGATTCTGATATGTGCAATTTCTTTTCAAGGAGATAAATTTATCCAAGTCTTTCCTATAAAAGAAAGCAAAACAAAAACTGATTACCTCTAGATTTAAGTGTTGATTTATGTCAGAGCTTCAGATCAAATTTTGTCAGACCTCAGTCCTTACCTTCATTAATTAGCAGCACTTGGACCTAAGTACTCATGATGAAAGAATTCAGAATAATAACATTCTTATTATCATTTAAGATGGGACAATTTTTACTGCTATGGTGTTGGGCTTGCACATGTAACAAGTAAAATAAGTTGAAGTTATTGTGCAATAAAAAAAAAAAAAGGTGTTGTAAGTGGCAGCCAAGAGTGAAGATAGATCAGATCTCAATATATTTAGCAGTAGTTAAGGAGCAAGAGAGAGAAAATACTAACACAAATAGCTGCTTGACCATTGCCTGTGCCAGCATCCCAAGCTAAAGAGTGGTCAGGGGTGAGAGCAGCCAGCATTGAGAACCATTCTTTTGGATATCTTGGCCTTCCATCCAAATAAATTGCTGCCTGCTTGTCATATGAACCTGCCATTATAATTCTTGTGGATTCTGATAGTACATGTGCCTATGAATGTTTTGGGGTCTGTTGAAGGTGATTTATAAGGAGAAACTGATCCTTCTTTCTTGTCGATATATTAATTGTTTGAAAGAGAGTAAATTTGACCTGCAATGTAGGTCTACTGCTTATGCATGAATCTGAATATCTTGACCAAAGAAGTGGCCTCAATTTATTCTTGGCCCAGTAAAAATTGGTAGTGATTATCTCAAAATGGCTCTACCATTCTTTGCTAAAAAGTGGGCCAAATTTCTTGCCATGGGCCATTCTGAGACATGTCAGAAGACACTACCCCCAGGCTAATCAATATCTTGTCTTCTTGGTAATCTTATAAAATTGTATTTTCTGTTCTGCTCTTTTCGTTTTATGTAATTCAATCATCTAGCTTAAGCTCAAGTTCAAAGAAGTTTACTTTCTGTAATAATCTTTTTTATATCAAGTATGGCTTGAATACAAATCAAATAGTTTTTATCAACTAAATTAACCTGGCTACAAACACTAAAAGAAGTTCTATTCTTGCACGGAGTTACGTTGTTGTAATAACTTTTAGATGGTAAAATTGATGAAAATATACAAACATGTTATTGGAGCAAGAAGACAAGTCATGTAATGGTAGGAAGCAAAGGTGCTGGCCTGGCATTCCTAATTATTTCAATCAATTTTTCATATCATAATTGAAGCTTGAAAAGGATAGCTCATAGTTTAGCTTTTCCAGCAAGCATAAAAGCCTTGTAGGTGACAGACCTAACCAGTTTAGGTCCACCCCAAACAGTCTCCAACTCTTTAACAACAGTCGGAGACAACAAATCCACACCTTGGTTTTTGGCTGTAATTACTGCTGACCATGAACTGATCATCTTCAAAAATCCCTCAAATGACAGCTCCTTCGATATGTCAAGTTCTAATGGTTTCCCTTCAGAGCCTAAACCAATATTCTCAAAAGGAAATGGAAGTTTCTTGTAGCCATCGAATATGTGCTGAATATTTGGGTGCCAAAAAGGAAGAGTTGAGTCATGAAATTGCTTAAACACTGGTTCAAATGCAGGACTCACTAGAATATCATTGTAGCACCAAACAGCAAGTACACCTCCAGGCTTTCTTAGAAGGCGTGCGACAAGGGAATAAAATTTCGGCAGATCAAACCAATGCACAGCCTGCGCTACTGTCACCAAATCAACTGAATTTTCACCCCCAATTAAGGTTATTAGCTCATCATCAGACATGGATAATTGGGTGGGAAGGTATCGAACCCTTGGATGCGCCATTGCATGTTTTAATTGAGCTTCACTCACATCAGTTCCAATCACTTGCTCATAGTGCTCAGCAACCTACCAAGAGAAGCTGAACACAATGAATCCATAAACCTAGCCAAACATAGCCAAGAAAATGCATTCAATAATCCTATTAAGACTAAAAGGTTGAGAACGAATTGTTCTTTTTTTCTTGCAATGTGAATTAGATGAAATCTTCCAGTTGCTTATCAAAGTTGAAACAATCAAATTGGAAAGCAATCACGTTAATTTTAGTAACTAAAGCACTAAGCAAGTAAGTAGCAATGGCACATGCCTTATCCTTCTAAAACTAGAGAAGTAATGACAACTCTGCAACCTTTTTTGATGATTTTCTTATTCAGAAACATATACTCACTTTTCTCCTTTTCTTTTACGAGAAAGAATACCAATCTCAAGCTAATAATCAAACCTTTTGGCCCAGTAAGAAAAATATTAGCAGAGACATAATACCAGAAGGGAAATAAAATCAAGAATTCAAAAGTGATTTCATGTGGATATATATAAACTCTTTAGCCTAAACCAAGAAACTTGGTTTTCTTAAACAAATCAAATAACCTTCAGGTGCAGTAATAACATTAATGATCTTAGACTAAACTAAAGCAAGGAGTTCCATCCGATAATAAGATGGCAGCCAACCATGTGGGGATGATTTGGAACCACTAAATATCACATTACAATCGTCTGATCATTAAGAGAGAAAAAAAGGAAGAAACTTGAGGAATATATGTATAATATCTAGAAAAAAGAGGATGAAAAAGAGAGAACTAACACCGAGAGCAGCTTGGCCATTGCCAGTACCAACATCCCAAGCCAAAGAGTGGTGGAGGGTGTGATCAGCCAGCATTGAATACCATTGGGTTGGATAAGTTGGCCTTCCATCCAAGTAGAGATCAGCTTGCTTGTCAAACAAAACTGCCATTGTAGTTCTTGTGAATTCTGAAGATGTATATCTGCCGGCTGCCTAGTAAATTTTATGGGGACTGAATCAAGGGTTGCTACCTGCTAGATTCCGGTGTCCTGAGCTTGCAAGGAGAACAAACTAAAGAAGAAAAATACAGCCTGCAATTAGGAAGGCATTAAATTTGATGTACACTACCTTGTAAGAATCTGACCAGCAAAAGTGGGCCAAGTTTACACTTACTGCCAAATGTAAAATAAGTAGCAGATGAAGTAACTGAAAATATCAAACTTCATTATTTTCTCTCAACTAAAAGCATGGGCCATTTTTAGAATCATGACTAGTCTGATCAACCTCCCCCTCTCTTTACATTTTTTTTTAGTTTTTTTTTTTTTTTTCCTTTCTATATAAATTTGTCTTCTAATGGTTTCTATCATGGCAAGTGAAAAAAAGAGGCTAGTATTGCCCGGTTATGACTTCACTGAAATGGGGTCATATATAACCTGCAAAATTTTGCATCATCAACGGGGCTGTGATCAATTTTCATATGGTAAAATTGGTGGCAAGCATCAAACTTTCAATTGTTGGATTTTGGGAAATAGACCACTGGAAAATATGCTGGCTTGCTGGCATGAACCATTACAAATATAAAACCATTGTTTGACAGTCCAGTTTTTCCAGATAGCATAAAAATCTTATAGCTGACAGATATAGCCAGACCCCATTCTCCAATACTTCAGCAAAACTCTCCGGCGGCCGCAGATCATTTGGTATGTACAGTTAGTGGGTTTTGCCTTCGGAACCTAAGCCTACAGTCATAAAAAGAAATGGGAGTTCTTTATAGTCATCCAATAAGTACTGGATATTTGAGTTTTAAGAAGGAAGAGTTGTATAATGAAAGCACTCCATTCCACGACCGAACATAGTTTTAAATATAGGTTGCGGTAAAAAAGAGATCACGATTGCGATAGCTGATCGCGACTTATCACGATAGTAAAATAACGGTTATAATGATTAATACGGTGAATATATTAGTAACCATTAACAAATTTATTCTAATTCATATATTTTTAATAATTTTATTAATTAGACATACTAATAATTAATAAACATCTCTAATAATTTAACATCATACAATAATAGTTGAAATTATTACAAAAAATAATTAATAACACTTTTAATAAATTAATATTACATTAAAAAATAAAAAATATTATAATTTTAATTCACACATTACAAAATATTTATTTTCAAAAAATCATCATGGAGGATCATATCATCTTGTTTCTTTCTTTTCATCAAATGTTCATAATGTAAATTTATTTTTTGAATTTTTTTAATTTTCAAAATAAATTAAAATAACATTAAAATTGAAAAAAAAACTAAATAATAAGTTTTTTTTTTAAACAAGAATGATCAAGTAATTTTTTTTTCAAAGCAAAAGGACTAATTTATAATTTACTCAATTAAAACCTGTTTGCAGGCCTTTGAACTGTGCAAGCAGTAGAGTTTTACAGAAAAAGTAGAATAATAAAAAGTAAATCATATATTAGTTTTTCTAGTTTTGATAGATAAATAAATAAATCCTTAATGTTTTAAAAATGAATTCTTTAAACTTTTAATCAATATTATCATATTTAATATAATATATTTTATTTCACAGAATATTTTTTTCATCAAATTATTCATATGATGTAAATTTATGTTTTTACACTTTAAGCTTTTTAAAACATAAAGAAAAGCAAATAAAAAAAAACTAAACTATTAGTTTTTAAAATAAAAGAAATTAATTAAATTATTTTTTCAAAATACAAAGATTGATTTATAATTTATTCAATCAAAGTCTGCAAATAATATTTGATTCTTATTTTCTGCCATGAATCACGTGGGTCTCTTCTTTACTTAACTCGTCCCAAGCAATGCCCCGTTTGCTTAGATGTTCTAACTGTAGGATTTTAGCGTTGTTGGATTTCCCAAAAAAGAAGGTGAAGTCACGTGCCCGGGGGAACTTCATTATCGGAAAATGATTAAGAGTCTTACCCATGCGGAAGCAGAAAACTCTTTTCTTATAGAGTAGCTACGAGATCTGGTCCCCTACCTTCTCTTTCAGTGACATTCGATGGAGATCCATTTCAGGTGAGCAAGCTGGCGCTGGGAAGGCCTGGTCTCTCTCTATGGCTGAATTTCAGCCGCAGAATTTTTTAATACAAATTTATGTAACGTCATTATATAATTATAAATAACGATGTTATGTAATAGTAAAGTTGTTATTTATGATTATTTGTGTGAAACAATGTCGAGCACTCTTAACGCTAAATAATAGTAATGAAAAATTCTATTATTGTTATATAACAATAGTTACATTACATAATGGTCATTTTTTAAAACTATGAAACCAAATGTAGAAGTAATTACAATGTCATATTGGCACCAAACAGCAAATAGACCGCATTAACAACAATAATAACTTGATACAAGACTAATTTTGTTCAAAATAAGAGCAACAAGATTTAATTTTTTTCAATAAAAATACGATTTTAGAATTTAAATTCTTATACATTCATAGCAAATTCGTTGTACCAGACTCTCTTGTTTCTTCTTTTTACATGATCTTATATTAAATTACGAGTCCCAATTTACATACTCGTGAATAAATTACATTATTATGATTGTGGTATTAAAATGCTATAAAAGATCTAAAGCAAGAATGAGAAAAGATCAAAACTTTTTTCACAAAATGAGAAAATTTCTTATAACTAGAGGAAAAAAATTTTCATTAACATAAAATAGGGCAAACCCATTGTTTTAAAAGTCGATAAGACCAAATCTATTCATGAGTAATCAATAATAGGAACGAAACTTCAATAACTCTCTAGATATATAAATGAAAAGAACAAATATTCTTTTGAAGAAAAATAAAAAACCAACACTCGAGGCCAAAAAGAGGAAGAGCAATGTTTTTCACAGTTTTTCTTTTTACCCTTGTTTTAGGGGGCATAAATGACAAAAATCAGAGCAAAAAAATGTATTCTCAAAAGATTGCTAGACATCCAGATTAGAAAGTCCATTCTTAACAGGCCATCCAATCCCTTATTGATATATTAGCGATTCACAAAAAAATATTAAATTAAAGATAAAATTTCATCTAATTTTATAATTTTTAATCAAAATTTTGCATCTCTTTTTTTTTTTTACTTTTTAATAATTTTGTAGTTAAAAAAACACAATTTATCTTTTTACGCATTTATTCTTAAAAAATCCATAATAATCTAATTATCAAATTAATATATATATATATATATATATATATATATATATATATATATATATATATATATATATATATATATAAATTTTAATATTTTTTCATAACATTGTATCGGAAAAATAAAGTAACATAAAAACCGAAATAAAAATTAGCAAGTAATTTTTTTATTTTTGTTTAATACTAATGAGACAAGTATTTTTTTTTAAAGTATGCACATTTGATACACACACACACACACACAATAGTATTGGTTGTGTGGAAAAAAAATAATTTTTCACAATCTTCACACCCAATTCAATAACTAAAAAAAAAAAAAAACATAAATGCCTATAAAAAAAAAAAAAAAGAAAGAGAATCCAAGTAGCATTTTTCATAATTTTTACACCTAATATATATATATATATATATATATATATATATATATATATATATATTGGTATAAAAATTTTATTTTAATTATTAGGTGGTTCTTCTAAAACATTATTTTAATTATTTTATCTGAAAAATAATTGTAAAATATATTAAAAAACACCAGTTGGTCTTATGACTATAGATGCGAGTTAATTTTCAATAAAATCAATAAATAATATATATATATATATATATATATTATACATCATGACCGCACTTATTGGGTTAACGCGTGCATCATAAATTGATTTTTTTTCAAAAAGAAACTTTTCATAAAAAATATATTGAAGTTAGTAGGATGCAATAAAAAAAAACAAAATTGATTTCCACAAAATTTGATTATATAAAGAATAAATAAATAAAACATGTGAATTCTATTTTTAAATTTTGATTATATAAAAAATAAATAACTAAAAATTTTATTCAAAAATCCATGTATAAAAGAAAATAAATCATAAATTTAAGGGAAAATAAATCATAAATTTAAACAAATAAAATTACATAAAAAAGAATAAAAAATTAATATGATGAGAATTTTTATAAGAAACAACAAATTAAAGAGATCAGCTTTAAAAATATATCATATATATTTCATAACCATCGACTTGTGTGAAAAACAAAATAATTTTTTTTCATAATCGTCACTCCTAATTTAATAAAAAACAGAAATTAGTGGAAAAAAAATAAAAGAGAGAGAGAGAGAGAGAGAATAAAAACAGAATTTTTCATAATTTTCACACCTAATTCAGTAATTAAAAAAAAAGAGCATAAATTGATGAAAAAAACAAATAAAAAAAAGTAGGTAGGCTTTCTTGCCGGACTTGGTCTTGTTGCGGGCCAAATAGCCCAATGACCAAATTTTTTTTACAAAAACTTTAAGGACTAAAATGAAAATTTGTGTAAACTTCGAATATAAACATCCAAAAACAGTTCAAAAATCTCAAAAATACCATAATATATGAATAGTGATATGTGAGAGGATGAGCAAGTGATTTTCACTATTCAAGCCCCTAACCTCTTCTAGATTATTATTATTGTTACACTGCGAGTCCGATAGAAAAAAATTATTTTAATTATTTTAATTATAATTTTTTATTTAATTAATTTTTCTAATATTTTTTATAAATTTTCTACTTAAAAAAATATAAATCATTTTTCTTTATGGATGGATTTTAAAATAAAAAAATGTAATAATTTTAACTAAAATATTAATGAAGAATTAAAATAACTTTAAAAATATAATTTTTATAATATTGTATTTCAAAAAATAAATTTATAATTAATGAATAGACTTTTACAAAAATGAAAAAATGAAAAAAAAATCTTATTTAATACTGATGAGAAGATTAATATTTGAAATTATCCATGCAACGCTACGGGTAGATAAAACAAAATCATTTAAACATTTTATGATTTTTTATTAATTTTTTTATTATTACTTTTTTGTGTGTTTTTCATAAAATTTCTGCTTAAAAAATATATGATTTATTCTTCTTTATTCAAGGATTTTTAAATAAAAACTTGTAATAAATTAAACTTGAAATATTAATTAAGAATCCAAAAACAACTACTTTAAAATTATTTTTTTATAAGAATGTATCCAAAAAAATAAAGTTACAATTTAATGTATAGACTTGCATAAAAATTAACCAATGAAAAAATAAAATTTTATTCGTATTTAACGTTGGTGAGAAGATTTTTTTTTTCAAGTATATGCATTAGATCTATATATATTTATTTACAAAATAATCAATAAAAATAGCCTAAAAATTGCATTTGAATAATTGGTCGGTTTCTTTAAAAAATTATTTAAAATAATTTACTTCAAATAAATTGGTTCTATAATGTTAAAAATATTCATAGTAAATAATTTCCATCATATTGGAAGATGTATGGTTAATTTTTAATAGAATCAATGATTCAATAGTTTTTTTTTTATACATCTTGACCATACTTGGTAAACTGAGATAAATTATTTAAAATACACTTTTAACCTTTTAGAATAAAATAATTATATATTTCTATACATGCAATTATCATTTAAATTTTTTAAGAATTTATGATATATATTATACCAATTTATTTTTTAAAAAAGAAAAAATAATCACGTTTTAAAATTTTATTCTAAAATTCAAACATAGAGAAAAATAAATTACATTTATCAGTAAATAAAATTTTATACAAAAAATATTAGTTGGATGAGAATTTTCATAAAAAATAATAAATTCAAAGAATGAAATTTAAGTGATAAGAGTAATATAAGCTGAAGTATATATTAATTTTAAAATATAAAAATATAGTGTGTGTGTGTGTGTACACGCTACGTGAAAATGAAAACTAAAGATTGAAAAAAAAATGTTACAACATGAGGGACGAAAAATAAAAAAAAGTATTAAATTTACATATTAATGCCTAAAAGCATACAAAAAAATTACGTACAAAAATTACTTAAATTGCCATCAATTGCATAGTAATTTTATGCATATGAACATAAGTGAATAGGAAATTTTAGACATTTGAATAGTTTGGATTCTCACATTACGTTGCCGACCGAACTAAACATATTTATTTTAACGTGATAACATATACTATGTTATTGGTTAATTACAATTTATTAAATCAAATATAAAAGATAAAATTTCATCTAATTTTATAATTTTTAATCAAAATTTTGTATCTATATATATATTTTTTATGTTTTGAATAAATTTTGAAGTCAAAAAATATGATTTATTCTTAAATAAAAACCCATAATAAAAAAATTTTAATATAAAATTAAAAAAACACATCTTAATATTTTTTTATTACATTGCATCGAAGAAATAAAGTGATAATTAATATAAAAAATTGTATGAAAATTAACAAATGAAACTTTTTTTTATTGATGAGAAGATTATTTTTTAAAATATATACATTAAATTTATTTATATTTATTTACAAAATAATGAATAATATTACTATACAAAATTGTATTTGAATTATTAGGCGAGTTATTCTAAAATATTATTTCAATTATTTTATTTGAGAAGAATCATTTTAAATATCAAAAAAATAATAGCAAATATTTGGTATTGTGTGTATAGATGCATAGTTGATTTCTAATAAAATCAATGACTCTAATGTTAGTATTTTTTATACATCATGATCATAGGTGAGAATGTATAAAATAAGTAGAAAAATATTTTTTAAAAAATTAAATGGTAAAATACATATTGAAGTGAATAGAGTATAGTAAAAACTATAAAACTGATATCTATAAAATTTTATTATATAATAATTAAGCAAATAAATATACGTATAAAAAAAAACTTATTCGAATCCATATATAGAGAAAATAAATCATATTTATTAATAAAAAAATAAGAATAAAAATTAACTTGATGAGAATTTTTATAGAAAAAATCAATTTTAAACGATAAAAGTAGTTTATATTTATTCTAAAATCTAAAAATATATCATATAAATGTGAAAAATATCGTATATATTATATAATCGTAAGTTTGTGTGGAAAAAAATAATGATTGATTTTTCAAAATTTTAACACCAGATTAAAAAAAAAACATAAATTTATGGGAAAAAGAAAAGAAAAAAAGCAAAGAAAAAAGAAAAAGAAAAAGCATGTGCAAGTACATCGGATAGGGGATTAAAATTTTTATTTAAAATTTTAGAGACCAAAATGAAACAATTTTAAAAATTTTTAAATAAAAAAAAACCTAAATTGATGGGAAAAAGCAAAGGAAAATAAAGACATGTATAGTGAAACAACTTGAAAAAAAAAAAAAAAAACTCTTAGCTATGGTCATGAATAGTAGTTTGTAAGGGGATGAACAGTAAAAATTACTACTCAAACCCCCCACACCTCTTTCGAGTTATATAGTAATTAGTTAGATACTCGCACTACATTGCGAGTCAAACAACCATTATATACGTAGGGTTAACGATTTATATGATGTAGTGATAATAGAATTTTTATTTCTAGTGATTAATGTAAATCGAATCTATATATTGAATGAAATCGTTTGATCAATACATATTTATTAACAAAATATATAATAATATTAGCATTAAAATTTGTATTTGAATAATTGGAAGGTTCTTTCAAAACATTATCTAACTTATTTTATTTTAAAAAAACAAATTTTAGAATATAAAAAAATAAATAACAAATAATTGGTATTATGTGTGCGGATATATAGTTAATTTCTAATAAAACTAATGAGAATATATATATATATATATATAACGATTCGTAGTATATAGAATAAATAGAAAAATATACAAAAAAAATCCACCAAAATTGTATGAAATATATTAAATTTAATAGATTAAAATAAAAACTACAACAAAAATGGTTTTGATAAATTCTGAATAAATACATATAAAAAAGAAAAAAGCAAATAAAACTTATGAATTTTTTTAGCTGATTATTAATTTTTTTAAGAAAAATTGAGTCAAACTATCTAAAACATAATTCTAGTTCTCCCTCCCTCTCTCTCTCTCTCTCTCTCTCTATATATATATATATATATATAAATTATACTAATATATTTTTAAAAAATAAACACCGATGTTCTAAAATTTTATTCTAAAATTCATATATTAAAAAACTAAATTTATTAACAAATAAAATTACATCAAAAAAATTAATTTGATGAGAATTTTAATAAGAAATAGAGAATTGAATAAATAAATTTTAAATAATAAGAGTAATATAATCAAATATATATGTTTAAATTAAAATCTTAAAAAAAATCATATATATTCTATTATCTTCAAATTGTACGTAAAACTAAAAAAATAATAATAATTTATTTTTTACATTTTTCACACCTAATTTCATGATATATATATATATATATATATATATATATATATATATATATATATATATATATATATATATATATATTCTTTTTTTTAAGTATTATTATTATTTCTTTTTGGAAAATTTGTTTTCTTTGGATTTAATATACTCAGATCACAAAATCTCTTACAACACCACTTATCTATTAACACTACCCAACTTGAGCAACCACTTACCAACACTTTCTCATCTATCACTTAACAAGTGTTTTTAATGCATTAGGTAATTTTATTTATTTATTTCCATATTTAAAGCATATAATTTTTCTTATATTATAACGATTTCATTTAGTTTATCCTTATATTATTATTTTGATTTATTATTATTATTTTTTACTCAATATATCTTTCAGTTAAGCAAATAATAAGTCATAATTAGTTTAAGATGCATAACATACTTGGCCTTTTTTTTCTTCCTATATATATATATAAAGGAAGAAAAAAAAAGCCTAGGCTTTGCGTGGCCAGGACAAGCAAGCGCGCTTGGAACTGCAAGTGCAGGCCCATGCACTAGGCTTGGTTACTGTTCAACCTATGAAAAAAAAAAAAAAAGCTAACCAAAAGAGCTAGGATACAATGAATGAATAGTAACATTATTCAAATATGTCAGTGCTTTTAGTTTTCTTTATAATAATAATAATGTAATGTAATGTTAGACAATATTTAATCTTTTTCTTTTACAGGGACGACTATGAAGTTTTACATCATGAATTATAATACTCCAATATATAGCCTTACAAAGGTTTTGTTTTTTGGATTCCTAGGATATAAGTCTAAAAATTCAAACTAATATCTGATTACTTGATCGAAATGCTTAAGATAGACATAATTATTCAAAAAGTTTTTTGCATACATAAAGATTCGAACTCAAGATCATTTGTTTAAGTGATTAGAATTCTCTCTACTCAAGTCAACCTTTTGAATGCCTTACAAAGGTTTTTCTTTCTATTTTTATAGTTTACTTCATTTAAGTTTTTATATCATCGGTTTAAATTGTATCACAATTCAAACTAATTATGACAAAAAAATTTATGTATTTTATCTAATAATAATAATATGCTTTTTTTTTCTAAATAAAATGAATGTGGTTATACATGATGTGGTTACTTATGTTATTATATATTTGTATTTTACTAGTGCGCTTGATTTTTGAAATTTTCATGAAAGAAAGAAAAGAAAAAGATTAATTTTGATAGACATTATTATTACATAATCAATTTCATTCTATTTGAGATATTCATGATGGAACATATAAAATGTGGATGAATTTCTCCAAAATGTAGATGTAAAAGTACTTGATTGTAAAATTCAAAATAAAAGAAGTACCGAATCGGACAATCAATCATATTTTTGGTTGGCACCAACTCGCCAGCTCCTCCGCTTCTTCCTTCTCTCCCTAATCTCTATATTTTTACACAACAGCAACAGAAATTCAATTCCCCACAAAAATGGCAACTCTCACTTTCCATCTTTCCCGCCTCGCCCTCCACCACTTCCATTTTTCTCCCCTTCTCTTCATAACCCGACACCGTGCCATCTCGTTCCGCCGCCGCCACACCTCTGCTGCTTTCTTCTCTCGCCGCTCCTCCACCACTACTACCACCTCCTCCCGCCGCTTCTCAGTTTCCGCCACTGCTTCCACTTCTCCAGGTTCCTAAAAGAAGTCAATTTCACATTTACTTCCTTTTTGCTATGAAAGATTTTTATCAAGAAAGACTAGTCCTTTGGCACAAAGTTTTGAACTTGTTAATATTAATTAAGAGATATTAGTGAATTGTTAATTTTACTATGAAAATTTAAGCTTCATTTCTTTTGAATTGAGTGCAATGGCACGTGATTTTTTGTTCACGACTTCTTTTTGCAGAGAGCAGTAGTCATGGTGGTGGAGTGATTGATGATGAAAAATATGATGTGATTGTGGTTGGAGGAGGGCATGCTGGTTGTGAAGCAGCGCTTGCTTCTGCTCATTTAGGGGCGAAAACCCTTCTTCTAACGCTAAATATCGACCGAATAGCATGGCAGGTTTTTGTTTTAACTTTTGTAATCCTGTTATTGAATAGTTTACATAGTCTTGATAATTTTTAGTTATTTATATTATGTCAAAGATGATTGAAAGATTCTTGAAAGGAAGAGTTTTCAATGCAGCCTTGCAATCCAGCAGTAGGTGGGCCTGCAAAATCACAACTAGTGCATGAAGTAGATGCTCTTGGTGGTGAAATTGGGAAAATTGCTGATAGGTAATGCCTAGAAAATCTTATGGTTACTGGAATGAAACTCATTGGATTGAGTGTCAGTCTGCAAGTGTCATTCTTGCTAGTCAATATCAATATATAAGGATTAGGGAATGGGATTTGTGGACCTTGATATTTCATGTAATCTGAGGTGCAACCTTGGTTTAATGGGACTTGATGGGATGTTAGGAGAGGATTACTGTGGGGAATTGTGTTTACCCTAATGGTGGTTGGCAGCTATATTTGGTTTGTCATGCTGTGTCCTATATCGTAGTGCCAGGTCACTGTAGACTCCTTGGTCAGGGAAGAAACCAGCCACCTTTCCTTACGAGCTTGTCAGAATTGCAACTCTTGATTAGTCTTTTTGAAGTTCTGCAGATATATGAGTGTGCCTCTAATTCAAGGATGAAACTGAATTTAGGCACTAGGAACTGTAGTTGGTTGGGAAACATTGTTTTGTTAGCATGAAAAGGTCAAGTAAATGAACATAGACAATCCAATGAACCGAATAAGCAAATGGCATGCACTATATCAGGAACAATGAATTATGATTCTCAGGTCAACATAAGTTATTTATTTTCATCATTTTGATGTATTCCTTAGTTTTCTTTTCCTATGTCCTTCATCAATATGTTTGAAGTGAACTGCCTTTGTGTTTGTGATCTGTTATTTAGCTTGACCTGTGACTGCTTTTCGTATCTTGCTTCAGGTGCTATTTACAAAAACGTGTGCTAAACACATCAAGGGGTCCTGCTGTTCGAGCTTTGCGTGCACAAACTGACAAAAGGGAGTATGCTATGGAAATGAAAAAAATAGTGGAGAGGTAAGTTAATAGACTTAGCTTTTCTTAGTAGCTATTTGCATATACATTTAATTGCTCAAATGTGCATACAAAAAACAAATTATCCTACGTCATGTTGCAAAACACTATCAAATGTTCTATTGATACATAGAAGTTATTATGACCCTTATTTTCATACTTCCATAAGTAGGCTTTGACCAAACCATTTTCAAAATAACTCTTACAATCATGTTCATGATTGCTATGTTGCAGAAGCAGGCCATGGCAGGCAATACATAATAGCCATTAATTTTTGAAAAGGATTTTGATCCAGTGATTCATCTACTAAGAGAGAATAATAATACCTTCTATTTATTTTTATAACTGCTCAAAATAAAATACTTAATTATTTCATCACATGTAGTCACTCTATAATTAGTGTGATGGTCTCATAGTAATAATTTTCAATTAAGATGTATTAATACCTATGTTCCTTCTGATCCAAAAAAAAAAAAAATTCACAACAAATCTGCATTTCTAATGTTATCTGCATTTTTCAATTTATGGGTTTCTTTTTCAGTAATCTTGCAAATGACTGAATTTATAGATGTCTCAGTATCTATATGCTGATCTGAGCAATTTTTTTTTTCCATTTAGCACTCCAAACCTTTCCATCAGAGAGGCAATGGTGGTAGATATCTTGCTCGGAAAGAATGACAACGTGGAAGGTGTTCGCACTTTTTTTGGGATGAACTTCTATGCTTCTTCAGTTGTTCTTACAACTGGAACTTTTATGAGTGGTAAAATTTGGGTTGGTAGAACTTCTATGCCTGCTGGAAGAGCTGGGGAATCTGCTTCAGAGGGACTGACTGAGAACTTGCAACACCTTGGTTTTGAAACTGATCGGTTAAAAACTGGAACCCCAGCACGTGTGGATATTCGTACTGTAGATTTTACTGGATTAGAACCCCAGCCTGGAGATGAAGAGGTACTTCCATTTAATCTTATTTGTAGGTTCAATAGATGCATTCTGCACAACTTGAGATTTGAAATGATACTTCACTATTTGGTTTAGAAAACAAATTATCACTGCATATTTTGTTTTCTTAAAAAAAAATAATAATACATAGTTATGGTGACTGGTGAAGAGGTTCATCTATTACTAGCATCCCGCCCTTGATGCCTGCATTCTCTATCAGATTTTAATGTGCATATATGCAACATCGCTGCCATGTCAATTACATTCATGATATAGCATTTAGAGAGGTGCTAGTCAATTCGCTACTTATGATTCCAGTCAACTGATCAGCAGGTTTTTTTATGTTGCATAGGGTTCATGTTTTTCCCTCTTCCACACAGACTGCCTCTATCTGAAACAGAACTGATATCCAAATATAATGAGCCCCGAAAACCTTGTTTGGATAATGATGAAATTATGTCTTCTCTCCATATATCAAGTGTTTAAAATTATGTTCTGATTGCAAGTTAATGAATAACAGGTCCATTGGTTTAGTTTTGATCCAGATGTACATATTGAAAGGGAACAAATGTGTTGCTACCTAACACGCACAACAAAAATAACCCATCAGCTTATTAAGGATAACTTGCATGAAACTCCCACTTATGGAGGGTGGGTTGAAGCAAAGGGTCCTCGATACTGCCCTTCCATTGAAGATAAGGTATGCATCTGTAGTTAATGTATCCTTCAATAATGTTTTTTTTTTTTTTTTTTTGGTAGGGGGATCAGAATTTTAACTGAAGTAAAAAGTTCTTCTGCTGTGGTAGTTCACTGCCATGCCCTGAGAAAATATTACAATCGATGAGTTCTTTTTCTTTAAAAAAGGAGAAGAGCTTGTCCTTATTTTAGCTCTTAAGATGCCTCTGTATCTTGTATGGAATTTGTAAGAGCTGAATCTATACAGTATTTCCATACCAATGAACCTTCCCTGCATAATCATAAAGTTAGTCATCATATCTGATCCTAAAAATTTTTCTGCTGTAATAAAAGATTTTCTTCTTTTCCTTTTCCTTTTTTCCTCTTCTTGCTTTTCTTTCTCAAAAAATGTCTACCTACTTTGACATGTAGAATGTTGCCAATGATATCAATTACAATTTTAAGTATCCCTTGAAAATTGTTCACCCTCAGCACAGTAAACATTCTATTTTTTATAACACAACTATCCAAAGTGAGTAAATCATAAATTAGTCCATCTAGTTTTTCCAAATGAATTAAATAGTCCTTATAGTTTCAAAAACTAATTAATTAGTCCCTTGACTAGTTTTTATCATGCTTAATTTAATATTACTTTGTTCCAAAAAAACTTCTTTTCTCATCAATATATTATCTGCTTATTCTTTTCCTTTTTCTGTTTCTTAGAAGGAAAAACAAAAAGGGAAAAGAACCTGAAATGGGCAAAAAGGATTAAGTTACAAATAGATTTAAAAGCATGAGGACTAATTAATTAATTTTTGAAACTATTGTGACTATTAATATGTTTTGCAAAACTAGAGAGACTAATTTGTAGTTCACTCTACAAAGTGGATCCCTCATACATCCTGATCACACTCTTGCTATGTCCTAATTTTATAAAATAAATAAAGATAAATAATTTTTGTTCCTCTGTCACTTCAGATAATTGTAAGTGCCCTTCATGTTCTTATTCCTAGGTTTGTCCCCCAACCCCTGCAGTCTGGAAAAAAGGGAAGGGGGGAAGGAGATCCTGTAGATGATGAGTGGACTGATTTGTTGTCTAACATTTTTGGGTATTTGTAATTCACTCTCCAAAATGTATTCCTAGTACATCCTGATCATACTCTTGCTATGTCCTAATTTTATAAAGTAAATGAAGATAAATAATTTCTGTTCCTCTGTCACTTCAAATAATTGTAAGTGCCCTTCATGTCTTATTCATAGGTTTGTCCCCCAACCCCCGCAGTCTGGAAAAAGGGGGAAAAAAGGAGGTCCTGTAGATGATGAGTGGGCTGATTTGTTGTCTAACATTTTTGTGTATATGAAACCTCCTTGTTCAAATTCATGTGCCTTCCTACATTAGTTTAGTGCAGGAGAGAACTTGAACACATTTCCTTCTCTGAGGTTTAAATAGTCGCAGCCAAACTTTTTCTCCGTTCTGACTGATTTTAATGTTATTTAAGATGGTTTGTTGGTAAGGAAATTGGTTATGGGAAGTGAATTGCCATTGCTGCCATATTTCTTATTTTACTTCCTTTTGGAGTATTGTTTAAGCATATGAAACTTTGATTTTATGTGTTGAAAATGAATAAGTTCCTTGTGTAATTTGCATGTCTATCGTCTTTGTCCCAGATTGTAAGATTTCAAGATAAAGAGTCCCATCAGATTTTTCTTGAACCTGAGGGTAGAGATGTGCCTGAGCTGTATGTGCAGGTCTATATCTATCAACTTTATTCTTCTGTGCTATTACTTTGATGAACAGAAGGATCTTTGTGATTGAGAAGGGTTTAACATTTGGATACACCTTGCAATCAAGTAACAGCAATTTGTGTCTGCATTATCTTGTTTCATTTTGTGACCTGCTGAGCTTCTGGATCAGCACAATCCTGAAAATGCAAAAATGTTCTGTGGTTTCAACCTGCTTGAACTTCAGTGATGAAGTTTTGTTATCTTGCTCTTTAGTATGATGTGGTTTTCTCTATTACTAAGAGCCATAACACCATTACTTATTAAACATTTTGATCTCAGTTCAGTTTGCCACCTTTATTACCAAACTATGCAAACTAAGGCTCCTGCTAAGAGAGTAAACTACATTGATACTTGCGTGCAAAAGAAATAAAAATTTATCACTGAAGTTCATATGGCCAAAACCAGAGGGTACTGTTTTGCACTTTTCCCCATAATGATACATGTTTTAGCATTTTGCCATCAATTGATCATTGACTTGCTTATAGGGGTTCTCAACTGGTTTACCAGAGAAACTGCAGTTACCACTCTTGAGAACTTTGCCAGGACTTGAAAACTGTTCAATGCTGAGGCCTGCATATGCTGTGGAGTATGATTTCCTTCCTGCACATCAATGCTCTAGGTCTCTAATGACAAAGAAAATTGATGGTCTTTTCTTCTCTGGTCAGATAAATGGGACAACAGGGTATGAAGAGGCTGCAGCACAGGTTATCATCTGACAACAAAACTTTTTCTGTCTGTATTGCAGATGTTATTTATTTCTTGTCACTTGTCGGTAATATAATATTTATTATTCACCACATAAAATGCAGTATTGGTTTTTGCCTTGGGTAAAGAATTATATTAGGGCTCTTGATTTGTTTTTCTTTCACTTTCTGTAGGGAATTATTTCTGGTATTAATGCTGCAAGACATTCAGATGGTAAGCCTCTCATTGTTCTTGAGAGGGAAAGCAGTTACATAGGGACGTTGATTGACGATCTGATCACTAAAGACCTTCGAGAGCCTTACCGAATGTTGACAAGGTAGATTGCCTCTGGAAACTAATTACTCAATTTCTTACGATCATTCCCTTAATGTTGCTTGATGCTTTTCGTTTTTGGTAGTAAACTATGACATGAAATGCTCATGTCTCTGAAAAGCTAATTTGATAAGTATTTCTAAACCATGCCTAATTATTAATGTTGTAATGTGCACAAAGATGAAAAGTAGAGATGGTTCTAATACTATTTGACATCAGCTTTCTCCTTCCAAAAGCCAACTTCCTGTATGCTGTGCTTAACGTTCGAGATGTTGTTGTTTCTTAATATAGTTAGTGAAATAAAAGTGATAGAAATGGCTCTTTAATTTTTAATATGGTCTTATATCCTTGAACTGCAAATTAATTTCAAATGTGCGTAGTTGTCTTTTTCTTTTATCAAAAATATGGTATTGATTTTTCTCCTTCTCTTAGCCGTTCAGAACACCGATTGCTTCTTCGATCTGATAATGCTGATAGTCGTCTAACACCTTTGGGGCGTGAAATGGGGCTGATAGATGATAGACGGTGGAAACTATACCAGGATAAGCAAGATCGAATTTCAGCAGAAAAAAAGCGTTTGAAAACTGTCAGGATTTCAGGTTTGTATTCTTTCATTCCAACAAATCTGGAAGTAGAGACAGAGATATTTTAAGTGTAACTATTTCAGTAAACTTGCTGAAATAGAAATATAAATTATACATATTAAAGAATTTCATAAAAGTCCTGTTAATTGTTATGAGTCATGAAAATGCCCTCTCAGAAAAAAGAGGCAGTGGTAGACAGAGGCAGAGAAACAACCGATATAGAGAAAAGGGAGTAAGATTCATGGCCTTTATGTGCTTTTTTGGCCAAATGCATTTGTGTTTGTATATTGAATAATTATTCATCCATTGGATTGCAAGATTATTGCTCCAAATCAATCTTTAACAACAGCGGACAAGAACCTATGTCTGGAATATTTTGGGATTACTGTGGTTCTCTTTTTCAAATTTGGTGATCCAAAATAAGCAGAGACAGAGAGAGGATGCACTGGGTTATTGAGTTCTGGAGCATATTTATGAAGACCCAAGTTGACTGCTGTTTAAAATATTACTTTCAGGAGGAGATTTGGCTGCTAATGTTACTAGCATGTCCAGACAGCCTGTGAGGGACTCTTCGACACTGGAGAGTCTTCTAAAGAAACCACATGTGCAGTATGAAGTTTTTGATAAGCATGGTTTTGGCAATGAACAATTATCCAGAGAGGAGAAACAGTGTGTAGAGATTGATGTCAAGTATGAGGGCTTCATTGTGCGCCAGCATATTCAGCTCCAACAGGTAAGTAATCACTGTTCTCTTCTAGGATTAAAAAGGGAATAGAAATTTTATTCACTTCGAAATTATTTAGCTTGTCTGTATATGTTTGGTGTGGATTATTTACTTCATCTTCATAGGTTTCTTTATCTTGTCATGTAAGCCCTGTTCTTGTTCTGCTTGTAGATGGCCCATCAACAAAATAGACCACTTCCAGAGGACTTGGATTACCATGCAATGACAACTTTGTCTCATGAAGCACGTGAGAAACTCTCCAAGGTTTGTAGCATAACTGACAGAATTTTCTGGATTCATCCAAACTCCTACTGCTTAGTGCATTGAAACCTTATTTCGATTTTCTTGTCTGGTACAAGTTATGGTGTGGGGAAGTTATTTTTTATTGTCCTGGATGCTTGTTTTTACTTTTTTCTGTGCATTTGGGGTACCTTACACCTTGCCATTTCAATGCCAAGTTCAAATTACGTGTTTGTGAAGTATGACAAGTTACAATGATATCCTTTTGGTTGGTTTCTGTGCGAGTGAGTTGAGAAGATGCTCTTGTTTGAAATTGTCCTATATATTCCTGTCGCTGGACATAATTTATTGAAATTATTTGAAAAATAAGGTTCTGGTCAATTGTACTTTTCAGGTCAGGCCACAAACCATCGGTCAAGCAAGCAGAGTGGGTGGGGTGAGCCCTGCCGACATTACAGCTCTTCTCATTATCATTGAAGGCAACCGAAGAAAAGCTCAGGAACAGAGGAGAGACCAGATGCTGACTTCTGTCATGATAGACACTGATCACGAGTCCAATGTCCCTTTGACAAAAACAATCAGCTTGTGATGTGTTTCCAATGGATCAGTGATTCAGTGCTTGTATTCTCTGCTGGTCAGATTTTGAGCTATGTCCGTATTTATAACCGTCAGTGTTTCAGGGTAGTTAACTAACATTTGGCTGAAGACTGGGTCTTACTTTCAACAATTAAGGTCTTCAGAATGATGGGGTGGCAATTTTTGATGAAGTTGTTTGGTGGGAGGACCTGTGAAAACTCCTTGCTTCTCCCCTTCCATTGGCTACCACGAAAAGTGCAGTCTTGTACAGAAGTCCACTTTTATGAGCCACCTTCATAAGTTATGCATGCAAATAATTTCAGGCATTTTCTTTACGTTGTAACAGAATATTCATCATTTAAGTTTTCCTTATTCAGGGTTTTGTCGTCTTAGCAGGCTAGATATATTTTGTTCTGAATTAATCACACGCCACGTAATTAGTCTATTTATTTCTCTATTTTCATCATGGGGTTCCTCTGAATTGGGAACTCTCTTATGAGCCTTTTTTCAATGAATTTGGATATTGAACCATTGACAGGGACGAGCAAAAGCAAGTTGAGATTGAAAATTTGGATTGCCTTCAATGGTTCTTAATCATACTTAATTTTATGGAGCAGGCAAGAGAGAAGATATTGAGTTCAATTTGCGTTGTCACCTCGGAAAAAAAAATAGAAATGAGGGAAAAGTGTCGCTAAAAATAGATGCACCTTGAAGTATTAAAATTATGAAATGAGCCATCTATCTTGTGGAGTGCACAAATTTTGGAAATCCTATCTGATTTTAACTCCCTGGCGTGTTGTTTCGAACACAAATCATGTTCACATTTGAACATGTTTCTACCTGTGAAAAATCTAATGACGCATCCTCATTAAGCATGCAATTTAACAAGAAACAGCAGTGTTCATCGTGGTCATCATCTCTCCTGAATTCTTCTTATCTTCGTAAAATCAAAGCACTATTCGCACTTACACCAATATCTCAATGAACAAAAATGGACGAGGATAAAGAGGAAATAACAATCTTTTGATCTTCTTGTCCCTCAAGTTTCAATACGCAAATGCCTGTAGAAGACCCCACTTCCGGGCGCTTATTTATATGGCTCGTCTCTTCCTTCTTGTTTTTTACTGTAACTGCTGGAGACAGCTTGCTGCTTATGAACGTTGTCTTCCCTGCCATAGTTTTTAATGGCAGATGTAGTTGAAAAAATAGTTACGGCTGCGATTATGAGTTGCGATTTATTGCGATCGTAAAAAAAACCCGTAACAGGTGGCTATGGAAAAACTGCATTTAAGAAGAATTTATCACAAGCAATTCAAGCAACATGTCTTTTAGGTCGCATGAGACTGAATTGCCATCAACTTCATCCATGGCATCTTGATTGATTTATAAAAGAACTAAGGTGGATTTTTCTTTTTCGTATCGTTGGCATAATCTCTGATTGGCAGGAAAGCTGAAGAGAAAAACTTACAAGTATATCAAAGACCAAAAGTTTGCCAAGAGATCACTTTTGATTGTGAAGGTATTGCTCATCTATAAGGTATAGACAATTAGCTTTGGCTTAATTAGCTTTCGGCTTTCAACAAACTTCTTTTTTGTTTCAATTTTTCAGCGTTTTATTCGGAACCATCGATCGCTTCAATTTCACTACAGGCATCTTGTCTGACAAATTGCCTACAAAAGATATAGTATCCATTTTTACGAAGGTTAGAAATCTCAATTTTGTGTGCTATTTTGCTATGAAATTATATGCTTGGAATAGTAAAACTAAACTTTTCCCTACTTTTGTACATGGGAATCCTTGCTAGGCGAGCATCGACATCGATTTTTTTTTTGTCTTAGAGGTCATTTTATTCGAACTTCAACTTCTTATTTGACGAGTAGTGTAAATAGATCGTCAACTTCTTTTTATCCTTTTTTTTTCGAATATATCAAATACTTTCATTTGAAAAAACCAGATCAAGGCGGGAGGGCATTCTTAAAATCTTATGGGAATAGACTTAATTTTAATTTTAATTTTAATTTTAATAATTTATAATGGTAATGTTAACAGAGTGTTTAGAACAAATGAAGGACGGAATTCATTTCATTTATAAATGAAATGAACGAGAATTTACATTTGCAAATTAATTCCCTTGTTTGGAACAAAAAAATTATTAGCCAAATCATTCATTTATAAATACATTTTATGTTTAGAACACATATAGAATTAGAATTGTAGTTTGTATTTTACTTAAATACTTTCTAGTTGGTTGAAAGGTAATTGTGATATAATACAAAGACAAAGACAAATACAATATTTTCACAAATAATACAAAGATCACATGCCCATATAAGTCGAATATATCCCTCACATAAATATAATATCACAATGGTTGTCTATATCATATTACACGTCCAAAAATTATACCATTATATTGGCACAAATATTTTGCAGCCTATGCAAGCAAAATATTTCAAAATATAACAAACATCCAACATTAGAGATTCTAGTTTAATCATTCATACTACTAATTATAACAAACAGATCCATCATACTTTAAATCCATACTAATGCTAATTATAACAAACAACCCTCACTTTAATCATCCATACTAATGAATGATTAAAAACGAACGAGCGAAGGTTAGGGTAGAGGGCATATTTGTCCAAATAAAAATATTTCTCAATTGACATGGAATTCATTTGCAAATAACTCCTCTTGGGCAAAGAATTGGACAAAGCTATATCAATTCATTGATTTAGAATTCATTCATTTGCAATTTTGAAAATTGAAGCTTCCAAACAAGATATCATTAATTTGCAAATGAATTCCATGAAATTTTATGGAATTCATTTGCTCCAAACGTTATGTAAAAGAAGTTGCTATTTGCGGTAGCTAAATTCTCTCTTTAGAAAAGATTATAAATACAACTATATGGAGATGGAAGAAGTTAGTGAGACTGTTGTGTATTCCGTTGATCGAGTAAAGTCTAAACCCGAGGTATGTATAGTATAAAGAATAACCAAAGATAAAAATAATTAAGCTAACGAGTAGCAATCATAACAACCTGCAAAAAAATATAGAAATAAATTATGAGATAATCTATATCCTTAATATCTCTAGCAAGTCCTTGCCGATCTCGAAGCTGAAATTTGTCACCAAGAAACAAGAAGCAAGAGTGGGACAAGGGCTTAGTAAACAAGTCAGCCATTTGATATGTAGTAGATAGAAAATGAACCATTACGACACTTGCCACTTGCTCACAAACAAAGTGACAATCCAATTAACATGCTTGGTGCAAACATGAAAAACAAGATTAAAAGATAAGTAGATTGCACCAATATTGTCGCACTATAGTGTAGTAGGTAGAGTAGAAATACCAATTTCAAAAAGTAATGATTTAATCCACATTAATTCAAATGCAGCATTTACTATAGCTTTATACTCACTCTCTATTGATGATCCGGTAAAGGTAGGTTGCTCCTTAACCAACCAAGATACCAACAAATTGCCTAAAAAAATTTTATAACCACTTATAGATCGTCAATCATCTCGGATCACTTCTCTAGTCACTATCAACATAATAGTGAATAGAGATGAGGTATAAGAAAGAAACAAAATACTGAAGTAACCTCTTTAAAGCTTTCCAATGGGTATTTGTAGGACAATGCATAAACTAGCATAACTTGTTTACAATAAATGCAATATCCGATCTTGTGATAGTTATTTATTGAAAGTGTAACACCCTAACCTAGGACCTAAAAGGTTGAGAGCCCTTGCAATTTTTTGATACTCATCATCTTGTGGAAGGAAAGTACCATAGGTTTTAGACAAAAGAGGGGAGACATCAATAGGTGTAATACAAGACTTTGATTCATTCATACTCGTTCGATCAAGAAGATCGGCAATATATTTGCATTGAGATAATAGTGTCATTTTTCTTTTAACATCCATTTCAATTTCCAAAAAAGTAATGAAGGACACCCAAATCATGAATAAGAAATTCTTTCTTTAGCTCGATCAATCACATGAAATAGTAGCTTGAGACAAGAACTTGTGATAATAATATCATCAACATAAACTAACAAATACACAACATTATTATTAGCCTAATAAATAAATGGTAAATTATCAGCCTTGGATGATACAAACTTCGTTGAATTTAAAAATGTGGCCAAGCCAAGAAAACAAGCACGTGATGCTTACTTCAAACCATAAATAGAATGACTAAACTTGCACATATAGTCATGATGAATAGGATCCTTAAATCCTATCGGTTGGGTCATGAAGATTGTTCATCAAGGTGTCCATAGAGAAAACCATTTGACACTTCAAATTGGCCCATAGGCCACTTGTTCATAGTTGCTAGAGCAAGAATAATACGTATGGTAGTTGCTTTGATAACTATACTAAATGTTTCTTTGTAATCTATACATGATTGTTGTGCAAACCCCTTTGCCACCAAACGTACTTTATATCTATATACCGGACCATCTTTATTTCTTTTGATCCAATAAACCCACTTATTTTTAATAATGTTAGCTTCCAAAGGTTTTGGAACCAAATTCTAGGTAGTATTAGCAAGCAATGCATTTATCTTATTAGTCATAGCCTTTTGCCACACACTATAATTCTTGACTTGATTGTAAGTATATAGTTCATATGTAACAAAATTAAGATTGGATTTTTCTCTTAGAGCAAGATGAGCTTGGTATTTGGTCATGGTTTTTTATCGAAGTTGCATAAGATGTGTTTTAGCCGTGATAGATGCATTTGAGTCGGCTTGAAAATTGGTAAGTTCAACTACAATGTTTAATCTAGGTGAGGATCAAGTTGTCTATATTTTGAGGGGAGGGAGTTGGGTGACGTTGGAAAAGATGATTTGGAGTTGCATAAGATGAGGTTGGGTTGAATTACGAGAGTTTGGTATAGTAGGACACGTAGTTGAAGTAGGTTGTGAGGAGGATAAAACATATGATGTGTAATAGCCGATACCCGCTAAAAACTGAAATTAAATAAAAATTTACGATTAA